TTGAGGTATATTTCCTCTATACCTAATCTGTTGAGAGTTATCATGAAGGGGTATCAAAGGGCTTTTCTGCATTTATTTAAATGATCATCTGATTTTAATCCTTCATTTTGTTAATGTGGTATGTCACATTTATTGATTTGTGTATGTAATAAATCCCACTTGATCATGGTGATTCTTTTATCAAAATCTTAATTACTCCCTTTTAAAACATTTGTGACATGATTACAAATGTTAAGATCAAAATCTTAATTACCCCCTTTTAAAATATTTCATAATAAACAGTTGCTTCTTCCAGTTTAAGAAAATGTATATTTTAGCTGTTGCTTGGGCTGAGAATGTGTCTAATCAATCTAACTATATTTATGTCTTTAGGCGTTTATTTGAGGTGAATAAAATACAAATAATTTTTTAGACATAAAGGCCTCTGTTAGTCAAACGAGAAATCTTTCTTTCATTTGTAGTTGTCATTCATTGCCCCTTTTTTCTTTCATAGAGGCATTGATTAATTTTATCTTAGGTTAGCTAAGAATTTGAGCTATTTTTAGCAGTACATTCTCAAAGTATAGATGCTGCGGAATGAGTAACAAGTAATTAGAGCACCATTTATAGACCTTTATGTATGGTAGCCTTGAAGAATCTCTGTACTGTAGGTAGAATTGCACCTGAAATGACAAATCTTATAGTAAAACCACCCAGCTAATGATTGAGTCTCCTTTACAGCCTGTAAGCTGATGAGAAGAACATTCAGCACTCCTGAGTTCCTCCTGTCTGTACCTTCTTTCTTTTCTTAAGCCTAAATTGGCTTTCAAACAGTTAATTACAATTTGCTTCTACAGCTTTGGGGCTTTACATAACAACTTTAATTTTTTCTACACCGTTTTGAAACAGCTATCAGGTTTCACCCAAGTCTTTTCTTCTTATAAAACACTGACATTGTCTCATGTTGTCTGATGCAGTTTTCAGTCCCTTCACCATCAACTTTAGATCTGTCAGTGTTCCTCTTTAAATACAGTGCTCAGAATTAGCCATATAATGTTTCATGATTTTGTTTTTGTTTCTAGATACAGGGTCTTGTTCTGTCACCTGGGCTGGAGTGCAGTGGCATGATTGTCACTCACTGCAGCCCTGAACTCCTAGGCTCAAGGGATCCTCCTGCCTCAGTCTTCCAAAGCCCTGGGGTTATAGGCATGCGTCACCGTGCCCAGCCTCATGTATTAATTAATTAGTAGTCATTCAACCTATTTTTTTCTAGATAGTATATTTTGATTAATGCAGTTTATGATCACATTTCTTTTGTTTATTTTTACCTGTATCATACTTACAGTACTCAGAGGAGTTTAGGAAAACCCAAGACCAACCTGTGCTTTTATGGTGATTTATTTTGGACCCTATTACAGAACCTTATTGTTAAATGTGGCCCATTGTTCCAGGCTACCACCACATGTTTTGATTCTTTCTTTGAACATAGTTATTATATTTCCCAGCTTCATGTCATTTCTAAAATTGATGTACCTGCCCTCATCTAGGTCATTGCTAAAAACAATGAAGTAGAGCCAAAGACAGCCTTTCGGCATTCACAGAAATTATCTATTCTATATGGCAGCTATTTATATAGCACGTTCTATTTGCACTGTCCTAGGGAATCATATGTAAAAAGAAACAGCCCTTTAAGAGCTCACAGCCCAGTGGGAAAACAGATACTAAGAATATAATTCAGTATGGTAATTGCCGTAATGGAATATGAAGAAGGTACAATAGGAGCGCAGGGGAAAAAACCCCTGAGTCTTCAAGGCAGAAACTTCCTTCCAAGTTGAGAACTGTCATTTAATCAGAAAAGTGTAAATCACCTGGGTGCAGTGGCTCACACTTGTAATCCCAGCACTTTGGGAGGCAGGGGCAGGTGGATCACCTGAGGTCAGGAGTTTGAGACCAGCCTGGCCAACATGGTGAAACCCCATCTCTACTAAAAATATAAAAATTAGCCGGGTGTGGTGGTGCACGCCTGTAATCCCAGCTTCTCAGGAGACTGAGGCAGGAGAATTGCTTGAACCCGGGAGTTGGAGGTTGCAGTGAGCCAAGATGGCACCATTGCACTCCAGCCTGAGCGACAGAGTAAAACTTCACCTAAAACAAGTGTAAATCTGCCTAATTGACCTGTCTTTTTTCCCAACTTGTTCACAAGGATACGATGAAAGATCCTGGCATCTGCTTACTGAAATCAGGCCACATTCTATTTACTATATTTCTCTATTCCACCGGCCTAATACCCTGTGCAAAAAAAAAAAAGTACTGTTAAGTCTTTTAGATGTAATTAATTTAGCTGTTTATATACTAATTTTTTATATATACATACATACATTTTCAGGATCAGGATCAGGGAAATGTGTAATAGAATATAATAGATTCTGAAGATCAGAAGAAAAAATAGAGGCAAATTTGCAGGCTACGAGATCCCTCAGTTGTTATAGTTGAAGTTCCAAATTGGGCTTTGAGCTTTCTAAAGGCCAAAGAGAAATGGAAAAGTTCATGTTCTTACTGACTGATAGAGAAATAGTTTCTGTTCTTAAGTAGAAACAAAGCTTTTGCTAACACAGAAATCTTAACATTTGAGAGGGGGCTGCATTGAGGTTACACCGAGAGAGAGAACAAAAGTGTCATAAGCATGTATTTCTACTGCAAGTGCACAAAATATTTCTTTGGTGTTTCCTAAATTTGTAATTGTGGAGGAAATTGCTCAAAGAACAGATTAATATTACAGGCCAAGAGAGGCTGGGCATCATGGCTCATGTCTGTAATCCCAGCACTTTGGGAGGCCAAGGTGGGCAGATATCTTGAGCCCGGAGGTGGAGGTTGCCGTGAGCTGAGATTGCGCCACTGCACTCCAGTCTGGGTGACAGAGTGAGACCTTGTCTCAAAAAAAAAAAAAAAATGCTAAGAAAATAGTTATAGAAAGGAAAGTTGTGCAACTTTGAATAAAAATTCACTGGAAGTGTGAAATTTTTTGTGCACGCACCTAGACCATCCCTCAGCACAAGTTCAAGAAGTGTTACTTTAGGCTGTTTATTATAGTAGCCTTCATAAGAGAGGAACACCAATTCCATGGTAGGTTGACAAGTATTTCTTAGCTACCCACACAGCATGATTCTGTGGTCAAAATCTGAGTTAAACAAGTTTCTTTACTGGTGGGCTTCTGTCTCATAGGCTTAAGTACACTGTAACTCTTCCAGAGGGAGTTCTCTGAAGCTGATTTGGCTTTTGGTGGCACATTAGGGAACAGAGGAATGAATGTTTTCATATACTCCCAACAAACTCTCAAAGAGAAAGAATGTGGCAGCCACCCTGTTGTGTATTTGTCAACTCCAGCCAACGGTATATGTTGGACAATACGATTCTTTCCCTCTCACTCTCTCAAGCTTCAGGATGCCAGAATCTTCTCGTTTCTTCATAAGGCAAACCCAGAGGACAAGTTCCCCTCTTCACTTTCGCTGCCTTTTTAGAGATGAAACTAGGATCAGGGCAAGCCAGAAGCGTTTTGTCACTTGGCTTTTTAGCCAAGTAAGTCTTCTGGTTAGAGACCCCTGTCGCTGTAATTAACTTTGCTGAATTTGTGACTAGATCAGGTTCACTTCCTTACCTAGCCTTCTTTCCATTTACAATGTCATTTTGTATAGCAAATCTAATGTGGTTTTTTTTTCTTTTTTGTAAACGGGGTTTCACTCTGTCACCCAGACTGGAGTACAATGATGCGATCTTGGCTCACTGCAACCTCCACCCCTCACCCCGCACTGGGTTTAAGCGATTCTCCTGCCTCAGCCTCCTGAGTAGCTGGGACTACAGGTGCATGCCACCATGCCCCGCTAATTTTTGTATTTTTAGTAGAGACGGGGTTTTGCCATCTTAGCCAGGCTGATCTGGAACTCCTAACCTCAGGTGATCCACCCGCGTCGGCCTTCCAGAGTGCTAGAATTACAGGGGTCACCCACCATGCCCAGCCAATCTAATGTGTTTCTTTTAGAATAAAATAGGTTTTTTTCAATGTATTGTAAGCAAGCAATAAATCTAGGGCAGTTATTTATGTTTGATTAGTTTTTATTTACCTAGGAATCCTAAAATGAAAAAAGAGCAAGTATTATATTAATATAACAGTCATTTGAAAAATAAGCAATATTACATTTCAAAAATACCCTAAGGAATATTAAGTGTTATTCATTTATTTATAATACTCCAGAATCACATTCAGTATTATCCTTGGATATGTGCATTTTACAATTGTAAATCCATATGCAGGCATCCCCTACTTAACAAAGGCTCGACTTGTTATTTTTCAACATTATGATGGGGTGAAAGCAACACACATTCAGTAGAAATAGTACTTCAATTTTGAATTTTGATCTTTTCCTGGACTAGTGATGTATGGTATGGGGGCAGCAGCGAGCCCCAGCTCCCAGCCAGCCAGCCGTCATAAGGGTAAACGCCAGTATTCTGCCGCAGTGCCAGTGAATCTGCCTGACTGTAGGCCGGTGTACATGTTCTGAGCTTGTTTCAGATGGCCTGGGCTAAGCTATCATGTTCAATAAGTTAGGTGGATTCACTGCATTTTTGATTTAATGATATTTTCAATTTACTGTGAGTTTATTGGACATAACTCCACTGTAAGTAGAGGAACATTTCTGTCTAATAGTTTGTGTTCTCCCCCCACTAAATTCCTGTACATATTCCCTCATGTTGACATAGACAATAAACCGGTAGTCTTTAATATCTCTGCAATACTGGAATATTATCAAATGTAAATTTGAAGTCACTTTGATATATTTAGCAATTGAAGTTTCTTAAACTTTTTGCAATTTTAAATGGAGTATTGATGTCATATCAATTATGCTTTTTCTCTGGTTTATTTCCTTGGGCTGTATCCCTATGGATAGGACTACAAAGTCAGCAATTATATTTCCTCAATTTTATGCGACAGCAATTTTCTAACCTTGTTGTCTTCTAAATTCTAGGTTCAGGAGCTCCATGAGGAGGAGGCGCAGTGGGTGAACTACGATGAGGATGAGTTGTGTGTGAAGATGCAGCTAGCCGACGGGATCTTTGAGACCCTGATCAAAGATACTATTGATGTTCTCAATCAGATCAGTGAAAAGCAGGGGAGAATGCTACTTGTGTGACATCTTGCAAATAAATAGAACACTGAGTGCTAATGTGAGTCCTGGGCCTTTCTGCCTCCTGATGTACACCCCATCGCCATCATAGCAAGAGTGCTTCTGGACCTTGTGCTTATTCTTAAAGACTACGGGTTTGGAGTTGATAAGACAATGTGGTATATCTGGTATTACAGCCTTTGCCTTTCGAGACCAGCCGCTGGATTAATTGGTTATTTTCGGTGGGCAGGGTTGCACAGTGTAATCCTACACCTGTTGCTAGCACCCACACTAGGTCTCAGATGAGGGCTGAAAACACCAGACTTACCTCTGAGTTTAGACTAGATTATCACTTCTTTGAGTCTGAAGTCAAGTGAGAGAGGTATAGATGAGTGCATCACATCACTTTTGAAATGCAGTCCTGGTCTATACCATGGAAGTCATAAATGGACATTATAATCTCTAAACAGTATTAAACCCTTAACCACTTCTAAAATAGGCAAGCTTAATAATGTCTGCCAACTTCACATTCTGGAGTTTATTTCCTTTCTTTTTGAAGACCATTTTCTTCCATTATTGCAGTTGAGCAGCACCAAGTGGACTGTCGGGCTTACAGGAATAAGTGGTAGCCTTGCTGTCTGAGCGCCATCTAAAGAATTTTAAACCTCTGCATTATGCTTAGAGTTCTCTGTGTGGGCATGAAAAAAGAAACGCCCCTACTGAAGACGGCTCAAAGGACCAATGCAGGGCTGGTTCTTCTACCCCTTGGTTTACTCCTGCACTTTGCATACTCGTTCTGAATCTCTACCAGCTGCTCCCAGAATCACAGATACTCAGGACCATCTCAGGCATCCAGGCATGGCAAAGTGGAAATCATGCATTTTGGCCTTCAAACCTTCAACTCCCATCTTTCCCCAGGAAGTCAGAGACGCTGTTACTTGAATGATTTAGGAAATGAGTGTGTGCACCAAAGACAAAAAGACACTGTCTGTTGTTTGTGTGCTTGTTTTGTGCTATGGAATATTTTTTAATTTATTTTAAGATAAATTATTAAGTTGAAAATGTGCGTCCCTATTCAGAAGTGAAAGATTCTTCTTGTAATAATTAAAATCTCCATCTTGAAGCTTCTATGGTTCATAGTCTTTGCACAGGAAACCTATGGTTTTAACAAACCATACACATATTGAAGAAGTCCTTTTAATTCAGTGAAACGAAGACGGGCTTTTCCAAGATCACCTGCAGTAGCAGGAGTGGGATGAAATGATTTAAAGACGCTGTACAACTTAACTCTGCCTCTCTTGCAGCATTGCTTCTCACAACTATTACCTGCATCTGAAAACAAATCTATAGACTCCAGCTGCTACATTAGAGCATAAGAGATGCTCTCCTGGGACCTCAGTACCTGCCTTCTTGACTGGTTTCTGTTCATCAGTCCTGTCCCTCTTCAAGTAATCTGGAAGAATGTGGATGCTCTTAGGCGTGAATGTAAATGCCTTAATATCGAAGGTCCTGGTTAGAAGCATGATATAAGACATCCACTGGATTCATATTTACAAATATCCTGGAATGTTATAGCTTCAAAATATGTTAGAAAAACCCCAAAGATGGTATAATCTTTAAGTGTGCACATTCGTTCATTTCTGCATCTTCCCTCCAAACTTGCCTTTGCATCTTCAATATTTCACTATGCACACTCCCATTTCTCTTGGGTTTCATCTTGTCATTATAAGAAACGTACTGAAATAATCATTGGAATATTTGCATTTTGCACAATGACTGGTATGATAGCTCTTGACAAATAAGGAAAGCACTGAAATGTTGTGATTGGGTCTCGGGAAATGCTCAGAATGATGTCTTAGCAGCATTTCTTCTGGGCTTGTGATGTCGAGCTGTAGTCTTGTAGCCATAATGAGCAAATTGACTTAAGAGAACAAAGGTTTCTTGGGGTTATTAACCAGTAGTGTGGAAATATTATTTTTATGTGGCCAAGGAAAAGCAAAGGCTTTTCTTTTCAGTTTGTGTTATTCAGAAGACAGAAAAGCATCTTGTCTGCATCCTTTGGCTGTTTGTAGGATCACGTTGTCCTTATGATACTGAAACTTTACAGCTGCTGTAAATTTTTTATAAATGAATTTCAAAATGTTACGATGGGACTTTAGGTGGTTTTTCTACATTTTCATTATTTGGACCTAAAACCAGTTTTTAATAAGAAAGTTTATCTTTACTCTTATGACATTATGACTCCAGAAGATGAAAAAATAATGATACAAGTCATGGAATCAGCTACGTGGTAAGAAATGCTGCCAAGAATGTGGCAGTGGCTGTCCTGACATACTGCAGCTGTCTTTACCATCTGAAGAATCCTGGGCTCCAGATGAGAGGCAGAAGTGGATCAGGCTTACTCTTTGCTAAAAATGATTATCTGTAGTTTGGTAGCAAAAAAAAAAAAAGGAATCCGTAATTAGCAGATGTTTTATTATTTTAACTATTTGGATCTAATTGAAATGGGTTTATTGTTAGGATTAAAAAAGAGAGATGTGGATACCTGGCCACTCGTTCCATATTGGTATCTTTTCAATCAGCTCTGCCTCTTAGTCAAGAACCTAAATATTCCCTCTTTCTAATCCTTGTTCCTTTTCCCTACACCCTCGTCCTCTTTCACTCTTTCTTCATAATTCCTCTAAGAAAAATATCCTTGCATCAGCAGTAATATCTTTTAGAATAGCACTATCAGAATTTCGTAGTCAACCAACATACAGGCTTCAGATTCACTTCTGAGTCCAAAATAATTTGTGCTCTCCAGGGTAGTTAACTCTGGGTTAAATAAGTACAGGGTATAGATTCCCTCTTCAGGTCTAAACAGAAACTTTTACCGTAGGGAAAAGTAGGAAGAGCTCAAACGTAGTTAATAAGGAAGGTAATTTGTTTTTCTTTTACCTAAAAGAAAAGAAAATTCCTTCTGTGACTACAGGTCTCTGAGAAATTATCTTTCAAAAGAGATTTCATTGCTCATGAGAGTGTTGTGGCCTATTGATAAAAACAATTTTGTTCACTTTCTTGTCTTGAAAAAAAGTGGCCTTAGCTTTTTGCAATACTTGAATAAAGTGTGTACTTGCAAAAGAATTTCTGTAGCACAGCATTAGAGACTCATAACTTTTCTGCAAGAAATACAAACTTACATCTTCCTTTTACTACCTTAAGAATACTAGTGAAAGAAAACATTAATTCAAAGAGCAAATTATAGAAACTACAATGATGTTTAATGCAAATTGTAGGAATTTACATGTTTACAAATCATCTTCAACTGGTTGTGCAGCAATTCAATAAAATATCTTTGTATTATAAAAATGTGAAGAAAAAATATAAACTGGTGTAAAGGAGGTACTGTCATTTTAATTATGTTTAATAGCTTTTCCTTCTGGACTTTGCAAAGCCTTCTTGGTAAACACATTGCAAAGCATTCTCTGGGAGGTTTAGCCTCCCTGTGTGTACTGTACTGTGCAGACATGAAAAAATAAACCCGTTTACTGTGTACATGTAAATAGCCTGATCATCAGGCCATTTTCAGCCAATAGTCACATCCAGTGCAATTTTGCACCAAACACTTAAGGGTGTGGTTTGTAAGTATGATCTGTAAAATAACTGGGAGGAATTCCCATGTATACCTGTGTAAATAGATTTGTTAACTGAAGTGTACTTTAAGAAAAGATAAAATCTGTAAATAAACTGATTTATAAATTAATTTCATGTCAGGTCTTCATTTTTTTTCCCTCCTGAGCCAGCTTCAGAAAATTAGTCCCCACAACTTATTTGTGATTTCTTATTTGGTCACAGGGTGCTAATGCTTGGACAGTAGAATAAGGTAAGCTGTGGCTAAGAGCTGTTTCCCTGCACATACCTTTGAGCAGCCTGGGCTTGGGTCCTTCACTCACTGATTCAACAGACAGCCACTGAGCAGCACCTCACGTTCTGAGCACTGCACTGAGTACTGGGAAGATAGCAAAAAAAAACAGGCATGGTCCCTGACCTCAGGACACTTAATATCTCATAAAAGCCACCAGAAGAGAGTTTGAAAACCTGTGTGGCAAGTTACAAATGCTGCACAGGAAGCATACATAGGATTTGAGAATATCTTCAGAAAAGGGCCCAACAAGGGTGAGAGTGAGTCAGGGAAGAGTTCTCTGATAAATTATAACTGTTTTATGAGCTGCATCCTTCTAACTCATGGCAAATGCTATTTCTCCCAAATGACCTAAATTTTGATCACCCTTGCAAAATAACATGGAAAAGTCACACTCAAGTGGACCACAAAGAAGAGCCAACTAGCTGATGCCCAGGTGTGGAGGCGGTTACTTATTTCTGGAAATATGAATTCGGAGGAGAATGGAGCCAAAGTGATAGAAGAATAAAAGCAATCCGAGGATGGAAATGTATGGCACTCAGGATCATGAATCGTGTCTGTTCCAACAAATGAGAAGTGCTAACCACCATCATCTGACCTGAATTCCTCTAGCTGCCCCTAGATGGCCATCTCTGCTTTGTCTTTAGCCCCTAACACAACCATGAACATTACGGAAATGCTCAGGAAAAGACTGGCCCCAAATTACAGTAGGTCCTAAGAAATTCTTCCTCTCATAAAACAGATATTTGAGGCTGGGGCTCACACCTGTAATCCCAGCACTTTGGGAGACCAAGGCAGGAAGATTGAGTCCAAAAGTTTGAGACCGGCCTGGGCAACATAGTGAGTCCCCGTTTCTACAAAAAACTTTTTTTTTTTTGAGACAGAGTCTCACTCTGTTGTCAGGCTGGAGTGCAGTGATGCAGTCTCATCTCACTCTGCCTCCCGGGTTCAAGTGATTCTCCTGCCTCAGCCTCCAGAGTAGCTGGGACCACAGGTGTGTGCCACCATGCCCAACTAATTTTTGTGTTTTTAGTAGAGATGGGGTTTCACCACATTCACCAGGATGATCTCAATCTCTTGACTTCGTGATCTGCCCACCTTGGCCTCCCAAAGTGCTGGGATTACAGGCGTGAGCTACAGTGTGCAACCAAAAAATCTTTTAATTAGCAGGGCACAGTGGCACACATCTGTGGTCTCAGCTATTTGGGAGGCTGCAGTGAGAGAATTTCTTAAACCCAGGAGGTCGAGGCTGCAGTGAGCCATGTTCATGCCACTGTACTACTACAGCCTGGGCAACAGAGTGAAACCTGTCTCAAAAAAAAAAAAAAAAAACACAAATCAGATATTTGAGTGCCTACCATGTGCCAGATAACTATGGTTCGTGCTGAGGACACAAAAGTACAACGGTAATAACATAGAATCTTGGGAAAAAAGACCAAATACCTGTAACCCTGAGTCAAAGTATATGAAAGTGGTAGTCAAGAGGATGGCAGTTGACACAGCAGAGCTGGGAACCATGAGCCCTACCCTGGGGAGAACTACAGTGGCGAGTCTTACTGAAGGGAAGCCAGTCATCCCCAAGTAATGATCCACAATGGGCCGTATGTACAGCCGTGGTCCGGAAGATCCTATATAATGGAGCTGAAAATGTTCTATCACCGAAGGAGGTCACAGCCATTGTAATGTAGCGTGACGCATTACTCACGAGATGATGGTGATGCTGGTGTAAGCAAACCTACTGTGCTGCCAGTTGTGTAAAAGTACACAGTAATGTCCTACATGTTCACAGTCACCCTCCGCTCACCCACAGCAGCCTCCAGTCCTGCAAGCTCCATTCACGGTAAGTGCCCTATCTACACATTCCATTTTCTTTTTTTTTTTTTTTTGAGACAGAGTCTTGCTCTGTCGCCAGGCTGGAGTGCAGTGGCGTGATCTCAGCTCACTGCAATCTCTGCCTCCCAGATTCAAGTGATTCTCCTGCCTCAGCCTCCCGAGTAGCTGGAACTACAGGTGCGTGCCACCACACCCGGCTAATTGTTTGTATTTTAGTAGATGGGGTTTCACCATGTTGGCCAGGATGGTCTCAATCTCCTGACCGCGAGATCTGCCCGCCTGAGCCTCCCAAAGTGCTGGGATTACAGGCATGAGCTACTGCGCCCAGCCTCCATTTTCTATCCTTTATACTGTGATTTTACTGTTACCTTTTCTATATTTAACTATTTTTAGATAACCACAAATTCTTACCATGTGTTACAAGTACCTGCCGTGTTCAGTACAGTAACACTGTACAGGTTTGTAGCCTAGGAGCAATAGACGACACCATATAGCCTAGGTGTGTAGCGAGCTATACCATCTAGGTTTGTGTGAGTGCATTCTACGATGCTCACACAATGAAGTCACCTAATGATGCATTTCTCAGAACATATCCCAGTCGTTAAGAAATGCCTGACTGTACTGAGGAGAAACAGCTAATGCCCTAAAAATCCCAGCAAAGCTCAGGAATTGGAGGCACTGGCTGCCACAGTAAAAGGTGCAAAACATAGAGATAGTTTCACCATCCACTGGGTGTGCAGGCTGTGCAGCCAAGGTCAAAAGGTAGATACATGCCTCCCTGGCTAGAGACCAGTGCATGACGCAAGATCAGTGAGGACAGACAACACACACACCAGGCTCAGGAAGCTCAGTGTTTACCTACAGCCAGAGGGCAGAGTGCACGAGGTTCAGCCCCTTGCAATGCATCAACCCTACAAGGGCAGTAGATCTGCCCCACGGTGAACACAGGCAAGGTGACTGCAAGTGCTCACTTCATGCTGCAGTGGGAGGACCCTCCCGCTCCGCTGTGGGGTCTGAAAGGCAGAAGGCTGGGTGTGTATGAGGGACATTGACACATAAATTTAAGCAGAACAAAGGAGTACATATTTGAGCCTGCAACAGGGAAAGATATTCCCTCTCATGGAGATAAGCCCAGCACAGGCTGTAGCACTCTTATCTCTCAGTAAGTGTTCCAGGCCCTTTCTCATGTGACAGGAAGCTGCATGTGATTGCCTTTCCCAACAGGGAAGAAAACAGAGAAGCTGATGGCAAGTCTAATTGGAACAGTTAGACCTCCCAGGTACCAACCCCACCTGGAGGATCCAGGTCACTGTCTCTGCTGTCTCCGATGCTCTCAGGAGGTGAGTAATTCTCTGGAGAAGTTGAACCAAGAGGGTCTGAACCTGAGGACTCCAGACATAACCAAGCATGGAAGTCAGGCAACAAACTGAAGATAAGGATGAAAGTTCAAGTCTGTGGATGGAGTGAAGGACCCAGCCAGGCTTAGCCACAACCCTCTCCCACAGAAGGAGACTGGAGGACGCTTCTCTGGAAAAACTGTCTACAGAGGAAAGGCCTCTAGTTAACTGACATTTGGAGACGCCTCCAAAGAAAAAGCCGGCTTGTCCCCTGATCCCCTTCCTGTGAAATCCACCAGCCGAAAAGCCGCACCCATGCGCACTGAGTTGCTCACCACATTTTCAGCACGTCACCCATATGTGAATAAATAGCCAACCATCTCCAGACATCAGAGGGAAGCCACCAATGAGAAATAGACCAAACCAAAAAGAAAAAAGGGATTCTGGTGAAACAGCTGCATGGCACAGAAGAAAATCTCATAAGAGATTAAACATCTATAATTAAATCCTCAGCTGAAATAACATTGCATCATGAAATGGGGTTAGGATACTCTAAAAGATTAATGAGTCAGAAGACATGATTAAACTCTTGAGAATTAAAAGTATGGTCATCATAATTTAAAATTCAATAGAAAGCCTGAAAATGAAGAAATCTAGAAAGTAAAACAGCAACAAAAAATAGATAAAATGAGAGAACCAATCCAGGAAATCCAATGTCAAATTAACCAGATATCTACAAAGAACAGAGAAAACAGGAAATTATATAAGAAAAAATTCCAGAACTCAAATATGTGATTTCCAGTTGGAAATGGCCTAACATTTTATATATCATTGTAAAATATCAAAACTCTATAGGTAAAGAAATTATCCAGCCGTGCACAGTGGCTCATGCCTGTAACCCCAGCCCTTTGGGAGACCAAGGTGGGTGGATCATGAGGTCAGGAGTTCAAGACCAGCCTGACCAACATGGTGAAACCCCATCTCTACTAAAAATACAAAAATTAGCCGGGCGTGGTGGTGCATACCTGTAATCCCAGCTACTCAAGAGGCTGAGGCAGGACAATCAGTCGAACCCAGGAGGTGGACATTGCAGTGAGTCAAGATCACGCCACTGTACTCCAGTCTGGGGGACAGAGCAAGACTCCATCTCAAAAATAAATAAATAAATAAATAAAATTATCCTAAAAGTTTCTGAAGAGAAAAATAAAATACGACACGTAAAAGGTTAGGAACAAAATGTCATTACTGCCCTGAAGAGCTGCTTTGGAATCTTAATAGAGCAACATTTTCAAAAACAGTAAAAATAATTGCAGCCAACCTATGAATCCAGGGTAAAGGTAGAATATGGACATTTTCAGAAATGCAGGGTCCTTGTTTCCTGCATATTCTTGCTCAAAGGGCATCAACCATGAAGCTCAAAGACCTGAGGTCCACAAGCAGGGAATCCAACCCAGGAAAAGCATGACAGACATTCCCAGGATGACCGCCGTCTGGCAGGCCTAGAGAGTCAGCAGTCTAGTCCAGAACAGGATGGAAGGTCTCCCGCAGGAAGGGAGGAGAGGGGAGTAAATACTCTCACGTTTTTAACAACATGAAGAAAAAATGGTGAGGAAGGAATTAGTAATAGTTTCCAAGAAAAGAGAGTAATGAAAAAATGAGGATTCGTGACCA